CCGTGGATAACGGGTGATACTCAGACTAGCATTTATTATTAGGGAGTGCTCAAGAAATCATGAGCTCATGGCATTTTTTCAAAAAAACAAACACCTCTATGGTGATTTGAGTGTACTTTTAATAAGTAAAAATGAATAGAAATGGCTCTAAGACCCAACTGGACCGGTTTCTGCTCTCATGCTATAATAGCAGAGCTTCATCCGTAGTACATGTAAGCCAAATCCAGTATTTTATATTCGGCTAAATTAGTCATGTCAAATGTTAGGGTGCATAGATACACATAAGTGCATCTAATAAAATTTTGTGTGAACCTTGTTATGAGTCCAATTCCCAGTTATTGATAAACCTTGATTTGACAAGTACACCTTTAAGATTTTTGGCCTTTTATAGGCAGGAATTGGTTTGCTGGGAAACAGATTGCATACATGTAATTTCAGGTGTTCCGGAATTAAATGCCGGTCTTTCAGCAATACTTTTGTTAGCTGCTGGATTTTGATGTGTGGTGTGTAGATTATCTTGAACTTGAGGTGGTTCTTTTCGTCGTGTTTCATTCATGATGTATTGCTCACAGATTTCAAATTGTATGTCTTTTATGACTGGCAATTTCCTCTTTCTTGTGTTTACAGAGTAGAAGTTTCTCCATGAACGCATTTCTTCTTTTCTCTAAAAAATATGTCTTGTTGTCACAGAAATGTGCGTATCTTAGTACTGTAGTTCTCCTTTGATAAAGCCTCAGGTTACCAGCAGTAGGCTAGAAGCACACATACAAAAATGCCTAATAACATGGAACTATGATTTGGCTAAACAAGATTGAAGTAGATTTTTCAATATTGGCCGGTCTTATCATAAGTTTGTTATGAGCGAATTATGTACGTTAATGTTCCACTTCCTTCCACATAAAAATACCTGTTTCAAATGATCAAGTTTGATGTTATAATTAACCAGTTGTGTTTGAAAAGTTATTTGTATTTGATGAAGTATCCCTCCATATTAAATTAATAATAAAAAATATGACTATACTACAGGGAAACCTGTAGTATAGCAGGGTTTTTTTTGTAAATTTGGGCGGGCTTTTTTACCACGAGGCATAGATATTTTACATAGTATTTGCTATTTTCCGTCTACATGTACATGGCTAAAAGGACTATATGACACCTTCCATTTTAATACTGACTACTTTGAGTGGCATAATCAAACTACCGGTAGCCTCCTAGACCTGTTTTATAATGCCACTTGAAGCAGTCAATATGCAAGACTACAAATTATAAGCATAGCTTGTAAAGTACTCTGATAGTAAAACAGATCTAAGATGGTAGAATCAAGTTAAGGGGTAACGGGTTAAGTGCTTTCTGTCAATGTATTGTTGATCATTTCATGTGTGCATATTAACAATAATAAATGAACTTGGATAAGTGTGTTAAGTATAATCTATTGCAAGTACCCTTTAAAATAACTTCCTGTGATATGGCACGTTTGGCTTAACCAGTTCACATCAGACAACGTGTTATACACGCAAGGCTTTGCAGTAATCGGAATGGATGATGGATAAACACGCAACAAGCGAGGCCTAAAATGTCTGTCAGTGGCCGGCTTGCAGCGAGCTACCCGTAGATGACAGCCTGAAGCCGTCTGGCATCCAGATTCATGAAAACAATCCCAAGTCTTGGTCTGGTCAATGTCAATATAGTCCAGCGCAAACTGGTTAAAACAATCTGCTGAGTCATATGAAATATTTACCTTTTAGACGTCATAGTTGGAAATGATGGCGTTGAACAGCGTGTACAAGGCATTCAACAAGTTAACAACCTGGAAAGTTAAGCGCAAGATGTAAAGGGTAACTCTGGTGACACTATTGGTTTGCAATTATTTTTGGTGCTACTGTAATTGGCAATTTGGCCGCTGTTGGATCCGGTTGAAATAAATAAATAAATAAATAATCTGAGTAGACAATTTGATCAAATTTGAGTGCATTTTATGTTTTGAACTTAAGCCACCTTTGAGAATATGATTGAAAAGTACTAGGCCCTACATGCCCTAGGTGCATGTATATCTAGGCTGATTATAAAGATTACGTGCACAAACAGTAGATTGTCCCTTTTTGACAACTTTTGAGAGCCCTAGTTGGAGAGACGCACTGCGTGAATGTACTGGTACGCGCCCTTTTGTGTAATTATGTCATCATGCCAATGTTTGTGTTGGACATTCCTCACTAAATATTTGCCTATTTATATAACTGTAGCAAAATACTTCCGTCTTCAAGTTAAATTTATTATCATTGCACTTCTGGTTACACTGGAAGTAAAGGTCAAATGGTATGCGCCCTGGACATGCTGGAACAAAATATTGCCAGTAGCAATGTCTGAAAAAAAAAAAATGAGAATACTACTCTGTTCCGTTATAGCCTTATTAAAAGTAAGCTTTCAAATTTTCATGTTAACCAGCTTGTAATAAGCCATTTGCGAGTTAAATTTGAATAAAATCTGGTATGCTGACTTAATCCAATGGTTTGCACGTTTAAACTTTGCATTCTCCCGACCAAAGACACTGTTTCAATATCACGTGATTCGGGGCAAGCCTTATGCTAGCAACCCCCAGCTCCGGCATGGTCTGGTGTCTTTGTGCCATTCTCACCCATTGTGAACGATGTATTGGTGCTGAGCATAACTATGCAAGAGCTTGCCCCGAATCATGTGATTAGCAACAGTGTCTTTGGTCTGGAGAATTCAAAGTTAAAATGGGTCAAGCATTCTGAGCAAGTCAGTGTACCAGATGTTTTTCAAATGTAAATCCCAAAGGGTGTAGGTTACTCGCAAATGACTTATTTGATACCAGGGGATGTCATGATGACATCACAATTTCTTTTACATCTTCGGACCAGGGTTCAAATTCCATCTACATGTAGGTTTTATCGTCATCACGTGAACTGTTTGGAAAAGATGTGGTTCGTTTTGATTTTGAGGCTTCTGTCTGTAATTTAAATTCACCCAACTTTGACCTTCCAGTAGACCCGGAAGTAAAGGTCGAGCGAGTTCACATAGGTTAAGGAGAAAACCCGTAAAGAATTATTGTCCAGCAAAAAAAAACCCAAAGAATAATTATTACCATTTCAAAAAGGTGATCGGGTCGTACCCGATCAAAAAGTCCCCAAAAACATTCAGTGTGATGAATCCTGCTTTTGACAGATTTTCCACTTTTTTTCTGTCTTAGTTTTATTGTGCTGAGCATAAAAATCGGGCAAGAAAGATCTTTTGCTGTTACTCCCTCAACCGTTTTAAAGTACAGTTAGAGCATTTTCTCTTCAAATATGAAAAAGTCTTACTTTGCAGTACTTCGAGTCTGTTCCATCCCTGTGAAGCACCAGCAAGGTAGTGATCGATGTACAAGGGAGCTCTGGTCTGAGTCTGTTCCATCCCTGTGAAGCATCAGCAAGGTAGTGATGTGTACTTGGTGCGGTCCTTCTCTTGGGCCGTACAGTGCTTCTCAAGAGAGCTCTGGTCTGAGTCTGTTCTAGCCGTGAGCAGCAGTCCTTCTCCTGGGCCTTATAGTGCCTCTATAGTGCTTCTCAAGAGAGCTCTCTGATGTGAAGTGAGCTGGTAGATCTGCCATCACCTGGTCAAGAAATTTGAATATTGTCAATTTGGGAAAAAATGTTTGATACTGATTGAGACATTTACTTGTATTCATTATAAGCTATCCTGCAAATTCGAGTGGAACAAGGTTAAAAAAAAATAGGTTAACCAGTTTGCGTCGGATAACGTGTAAACAAACAAAGATTTTGCAGTATTCGTAGCGGATGACAGATGAACAAGCAATGATAGCTGAGTCCTATCAATACAGATGTCAAATTGGTTCAAAAAAATCTTGGAGTTTTTAAGAATAAATTATTGTTTCACTGAAGAAGAAGTGTCTTTGCTCCCTTATTAGTCCCATCCTTGTAGATAGGATAGGATGCCTAGTTATATATCTTTGATACAAACGAATCCGGGAAATATAAATTTATAGTGACTTGGCATCATTACATCTTGCAAGGTGACAGGAAAAAGTCCTGAATAGCGCCCTCTACTCCACCTCCCCCGGCCGCATTACATGACAAAAACAATGAAACAAGTCCATTGGTTTTACTTTAAACATGCCTTAGACCTTACTCCATATTTTTTATACAATTTCCTTAAAACATAAGTAGTGACTATCAAAGGTTATTAATATCACTCAATCTGAAAATAAAAAGAAAACAAAAATCCCCCACTTGCATTATTGTCCATTCAGCCATAAAAAATCGTTGTACGTCAATTTTGATCTGTTGAGTCAATTTCCTTTTTTCTTTTAAGTTTTCTGTAGCTACAACAGTGCCCTTTAGTGCTGCACCACCTCAAATATTTAGCACTAAGCACAAGGGCACCAATGCAAATGATAGGGCACCAAGTCAAATGATGTAACACCATATGAGAACTCAAACAAACAAAGCAGTACCACTTTGCTATTTTTTCCCAAGCTTGGATGGTACAGACAAAGAATATTTTTTTATACGCATCACTAGTTTGAATACAATTTAATACCAAATTAGTGACTCTCAACAGTATAGTTATGAACTCACAGTCTGTTTGTTTGATGACGGAATTTTTGTTACAACTTCCACATGGTAGTAGATTAAAAGGCGACTACAAAATACTTCAGTCTTTGTTAAAAAAAAAAAAAACTGACTTGATCAAAGTTAGTTATTGTACAAGTGTGATGAGACCTAAACCTTTTTTTTCTGAATCTTTTTCTTAAAGTTGCTAAACGAAGCTGTAATCGCGAACAACAAATCTGTTGGTGAACACACAATTGTGTGTTAATTTGAATTTGTTGTTAGGTTTTTCAAATAGACCTACAAACGCTGTAGTATAATAGCTGATTATGCTTTTTACCTCTTTACAAAAATTGTTGATCCAAATGCGTTGCAGATAATGTTGGGATAATATTCTGGTTGTTTACAAGTTTTGTTTGGGTGGCTTGATTCGGTCGATCTTGTAGCTTGGATCATGTCCCTCGAGCCAGTACGTCAGGCTTTCACCTTTGCCCTGAAATAAAAGAAAGGAAAAAGATAAGAGATTGATTGAAACAGTTATCTCATGTTTCCTTTGAAATATGATGGACTTGAGAATTTGCAGCAGTGAAAATTGAAGGAAGGGTAGATCATTTGTCATTTGTGATTTTTTTTCCCATTTGAAGCAACAAAAGTTCTCAAAATCTAAAGATGGGTGCTTAACAACTACCCCAAATGAAGTTAAAGATATGTGAATGCTGTGTTTTCAGAGGAAACAATATTCTACGATCTCAATTTCTATTCAAAAGTTCCTGAGACACGTTTGTTCTCATTCAGCTGATTGAAGCTTTGCAATGTTGCACACTAAACCGCTGAATGAGTCATGTCAACGCTTGTGCACACCCATTCACAGATTAGTCTGATCACAAACCAACTACTAACGAAACCTTCCAAAAAATGTGTCATTTGACACACTATTTAGAAATGGCCTTCTTTTATTGTGTTCTTCACAATGACAACATGTAATGCCAGAGAGAATAATTTCACAGTCTGACTAGCTGTACTAAGGGTTGTTTTTTCTATTTTTATAGTAATTTTCCTCTTTTTGTATCGATCCTAAGTTGCGGCTGGACTCTGATGTTCTCAAAGAGCTATATTAAAGTACAATACTTGTGATGTACTTGTGACTAGACTTGTGATATATGCTTGCGACTGGACCTGTGATGAATTTGTGACTAGACTTGTGATGCACTTGTGACTAGACTTGTGAAATACTTGTGACTGGACTTGTGTTGTACATGTACTTGTGACTAGAACTGTGATATACTTGTGACTGGACTTGTGATATACTTGTGTCTGGACTTGTGATTTACTTGTGACTGGACTTGTGATGTACTTGTGACTGGACTTGTGATATACTTGTGACTGGACTTGTGATGTACTTGTGACTAGAACTGTGATATACTTGTGACTGGACTTGTGATGTACTTGTGACTGGACTTGTGATGTACTTGGACTCGACTTGTGATAGACTTGCCACCAGACTTGCGATGTACTTGTGAACAGACTAGTGATGTACTTGTGACTGGGCTTATGATGCACTTGTGATTAGACTTGTGATGTTCTTGTGACTGGACTTGTGATGTACTTGTGACTGGACTTGTGATGTACTTGTGACTATACACTTGTAATGTACTTGTGGCTGGACTTGTGATGTACCTGTGACTAAACTTGTGACGTACTTGTGACTAGACTTGTGATGTTCTTGTGACTGGACTTGTGATGTTCTTGTGACTGGACTTGTAATGTACTTAGGGCTGGGCTTGTGATGTACTTGTGACTAAACTTGTGACGTACTTGTGACTAGACTTGTGATGTACTTGTGACTGGGCTTATGATGCATGTGTGACTGGACTTATGATGTACTTGTGACTGGACTTCTGATGTACTTGTGACTAGACTTGTGATGTACTTGTGACTGGACTTGTGATATACTTGTGACTGGACTTGTAATGTATTTGTGACTTGACTTATGATGTACTTGTGACTGGACTTGTGACTGGACTTGTAATGTACTTGTGCCTGGACTTGTGATGTACAGTACTTGTGATGTACTTGTGATGTACTTGTGATGTACTTGTGACTAGACTTGTGATATATGCTTGCGACTGGACCTGTGATGTACTTGTGACTGGACCTGTGATGTACTTGTGACTGGACTTCTGATGTACTTGTGACTAGACTTGTGATGTACTTGTGACTGGACTTGTGATATACTTGTGACTGGACTTGTGATTTACTTGTGACTGGACTTGTAATGTATTTGTGACTTGACTTATGATGTACTTGTGACTGGACTTGTGACTGGACTTGTAATGTACTTGTGCCTGGACTTGTGATGTACAGTACTTGTGATGTACTTGTGATGTACTTGTGATGTACTTGTGACGGGACTTGTGATGTACTTGTGACGGGACTTGTGATGTACTTGTGACTGGACTTGTGACTGGACATGTGACTGGACTTGTAATGTACTTGTGACTGAAATTGTGACTGGACTTGTGACTGGACTTGTGATGTACTTGTGACTAGACTTGTGATGTACTTGTGACTGGACTTGTGACTAGACTTGTAATGTACTTGTGACTGGGCTGATGATGCACTTGTGACTAGACTTGTGATGTACTTGTGACTGAACTTGTGACTGGACTTGTGACTGGACTTGTGATGTACTTGTGACTAGACTTGTGATGTACTTGTGACTGGACTTGTGATGTACTTGTGACTGGACTTGTGATGTACTTGTGACTGGACTTGTGATGTACTTGTGACTGGACTTGTGATGTATTTGTGATTTATCAATCTTAAGTATCTCGACCACAAGCAAAGACAATGATCTTACCTGAGTGAATACTGATGCGGAGTTTGAGTTTCTCATCTTGTTTGTGTGGCATGATCAACTATCAACGCCCTCCAGGAGATGCCATGCAGTGGAGGCGATCATACCAGCATGACGGCTGCCATTACGGATCAGTAGGCAGGAGACCAACATGTAGGCATCGTCGATGCTTTCAACCTTGGCAAGATGTTATTATTTAACACTGGTTAATTTTGCATTCAGACATTATAATAGAACATACATATTTGCGTGGTTTTTCCCTGAACTAGTAACCATGGTAGCATCAACTTAACCTCTGAGTGATTGTCATGACTACGCCTGCGAACAGCCCAGTAATGTTGACAATGATAATGCAAGTGACTCTTTGTAATTATATCACCGCACCCACAGATTCTGTGTTTTTCAGTGGCCGAGAGTGTGCATCACATAGTATTTGCTATTTTCCGTCTACATGTACATGGCTAAAAGGACTATATGACACCTTCCATTTTAATACTGACTACTTTGAGTGGCATAATCAAACTAGCCTCCTAGACCTGTTTTATAATGCCACTCAAAGCAGTCAATATGCAAGACTACAAATTATAAGCATAGCTTGTAAAGTACTCTGATAGTAAAACAGATCTAAGATGGTAGAATCAAGCCAAGCAGTAACGGGTAAGGTGCTTTCTGTCAATGTATTGTTGATCATTTCATGTTTGCATATTAACCATAATAAATGAACTTGGATAAGTGTATTAAGTATAATCTATTGCAGTACCCTTTAAAATAACTTCCTGTGATATGGCACGTTTGGCTTAACCAGTTCACATCAGACAACGTGTATGTATACACGCAAGGTTTTGTGGTAATCGGAATGGATGATGGATAAACACACAACAAGCGAGGCCCGAAATGTCTGTCAGTGGCCCGCTTGCAGCGAGATACCCGTAGATGACAGCCTGAAGCCGTCTGGCATCCAGATTCATGAAAACAATCCCAAGTCTTGGTCTGGTCAATGTCAAAATAGTCCAGCGCGAACTGGTTAAAACAATCTGCTGAGTCATATGAAATATTTACCTTTTAGATGTCATAGTTGGAAATGATGGCGTTGAACAGCGTGTACAAGGCATTCAACAAGTTAACAACCTGGAAAGTTAAGCGCAAGACATGCAAGATGTAGAGAGTAACTCTGGTGACACTATTGGTTTGCAATTATTTTTGGTGCTACTGTAATTGGTGATTTGGCCGCTGTTGGATCCGGTTGAAATAAATAAATAAATAAACAATCTGAGTAGACAATTTGATCAAATTTGAGTGCATTTTACGTTTTGAACTGAAGCCACCTTTGAGAATATAATTGAAAAGTACTAGGCCCTACCTGTACATGCCCTAGGTGCATGTATATCTAGGCTGATTATAAAGATTACGTAGATTGTCCCTTTTTGACAACTTTTGAGAGCCCTAGTTGGAGAGACGCATTGCGTGAATGTACTGGTACGTGCCCTTTCGTGTAATTATGTCATCATGCCAATGTTTGTGTTGGACATTCCTCACTAAATATTTGCATAATTTATATAACTGTAGCAAAATGCTTCCATCTTCAAGTTAAATTTATTATCATTGCACTTCCGGTTACACTGGAAGTAAAGGTCAAATGGTATGCACCCTGGACATGCTGGAACAAAATATTGCCAGTAGCAATGTCTGAAACAACAAAAAAATGAGACTGTTCCATTATAAAGTTATAGCCTAATTAAAAGTAAGCTCTCAAATTTTCATGTTAACCTGCTTGTAATTTGATACCAGGTGATGTCATGATGACATCACAATTTCTTTTACATCTTCGGACCAGGGTTCAAATTCCATCTAGGTTTTATCGTCATCACATGAACTGTTTGGAAAAGATATGGTTCGTTTTGATTTTGAGGCTTCTGTCTGTAATTTAAATTCACCCAACTTTGACCTTCCAGTAGACCCGGAAGTAAAGGTCGAGCGAGTTCACGTAGGAGAAAACCCGTAAAGAATTATTGTCCAGCAAAAAAAACCCAAAGAATAATTATTACCATTTCAAAAAGGTGATCGGGTCGTACCCGATCAAAAAGTCCCCAAAAACATTCAGTGTGATGAATCCTGCTTTTGACAGATTTTCCACTTTTTTTCTGTCTTAGTTTTATTGTGCTGAGCATAAAAATCGGGCAAGAAAGATCTTTTGCTGTTACTCCCTCAACCGTTTTAAAGTACAGTTAGAGCATTTTCTCTTCAAATATGAAAAAGTCTTACATTGAAGGACTTTGAGTCTGTTCCATTCCTGTGAAGCACCAGCAAGGTAGTGATCGATGTACTTGATGCAGTCCTTCTCCTGGGCCGTATAGTGCTTCTCAAGGGAGCTCTGGTCTGAGTCTGTACCATCCCTGTGAAGCACCAGCAAGGTAGTGATCGATGTACTTGATGCAGTCCTCCTCCTGGGCCGTATAGTGCTTCTCAAGGGAGCTCTGGTCTGAGTCTGTTCCATCCCTGTGAAGCACCAGCAAGGTAGTGATTGATGTACTTGATGCAGTCCTTCTCCTGGGCTGTATAGTGCTTCTCAAGGGAGCTCTGGTCTGAGTCTGTTCCATCCCTGTGAAGCACCAGCAAGGTAGTCATCGATGTACTTGATGCAGTCCTTCTCCTGGGCTGAATAGTGCTTCTCAAGGGAGCTCTGGTCTGAGTCTGTTCCATCCCTGTGAAGCACCAGCAAGGTAGTGATGTACTTGATGCAGTCCTTCTCCTGGGCCGTATAGTGCTTCTCAAGGGAGCTCTGGTCTGAGTCTGCACCATCCCTGTGAAGCATCAGCAAGGTAGTGATGAACTTGGTGCGGTCCTTCTCCTGGGCTGTATAGTGCTTCTCAAGAGAGCTCTGGTCTGAGTCTGTTCCATCCCTGTGAAGCACCAGCAAGGTAGTGATCGATGTACTTGATGCAGTCCTTCTCCTGGGCCGTATAGTGCTTCTCAATGGAGCTCTGGTCTGAGTCTGTACCATCCCTGTGAAGCACCAGCAAGGTAGTGATCGATGTACTTGATGCAGTCCTTCTCCTGGGCCGTATAGTGCTTCTCAAGGGAGCTCTGGTCTGAGTCTGTTCCATCCCTGTGAAGCACCAGCAAGGTAGTGATTGATGTACTTGATGCAGTCCTTCTCCTGGGCTGTATAGTGCTTCTCAAGGGAGCTCTGGTCTGAGTCTGTTCCATCCCTGTGAAGCACCAGCAAGGTAGTCATCGATGTACTTGATGCAGTCCTTCTCCTGGGCTGAATAGTGCTTCTCAAGGGAGCTCTGGTCTGAGTCTGTTCCATCCCTGTGAAGCACCAGCAAGGTAGTGATCGATGTACTTGATGCAGTCCTTCTCCTGGGCCGTATAGTGCTTCTCAAGGGAGCTCTGGTCTGAGTCCGTACCATCCCTGTGAAGCACCAGCAAGGTAGTGATGTACTTGAGGCAGTCCTTCTCCTGGGCCGTATAGTGCTTCTCAAGGGAGCTCTGGTCTGAGTCTGTTCCATCCCTGTGAAGCATCAGCAAGGTAGTGATGTACTTGGTGCGGTCCTTCTCCTAAGCCGTACAGTGCTTCTCAAGGGAGCTCTGGTCTGAGTCTGTTCTAGCCGTGAGAAGCAGTCCTTCTCCTGGGCCTTATAGTGCTTCTATAGTGCTTCTCAAGAGAGCTCTCTGATGTGAAGTGAGCTGGTAGATCTGCCATCACCTGGTCAAGAAATTTAAAAATTGTCAATTTGGGAAAAATGTTTGATACTGTAACAAAACAGGGGTATGTGACTAATATCATGTCTAGCCTCAGAAGCATCATGTCAGCCCGCGCGTTAAAGCGCGCGATACTGTGGGGCAACCAATCAGCATGCGCGTCCTGCATGTACACTAGGCTGATGGGCATGTCTGGCTATGAATTATGCAGGCGTGTACTGCGTGATTGAGTGCATGATAGCGCACGGCGACCAATCAGCAGCGTGCGTCCGGCATGGTCTGGGGCGATTGCCTCGTGGCCTGGCGTGGGATCGGGACTGCTGTGAGAGACTTCAATGAGTAAACTACTGGGAGAGACCGCGTTGTGAAACAAGCAATTATTGAGCAATCTCGTGAGCGTTTACTGAGTTACCCTGGTTGGACTGGAGCGGGAGAAAGCCCCAGCGCGCCTGGTGTGATCGGTCAGTAAAGCTGGACTTCGTTGTTTACATCCCCCTGTGCATTTTAAGGTCTTATCGGATAAGATTTGGGGTGGATTGTTGTTAAGAAGTCGGATATTTCAGATATATATACATGTAGGGCCTGAGTTAAGATAGTAGTGGGACTCGGAGTAAATCTGAAGGTTGGGGGAACAGTTAGGCTTAGTTCAGACTAAAGGATTGTCTTCCGTTGTTTGTGCCATTTGGCGTAGCTGCGGTACAGCTGCCCTGTGAGTCCGTTGGCTTGTTTTCCCATTGAGGAAATAGTGTAGCTAAGATTGTTCGGAAGGTCTGTCTGCCGTTGATCTATGCCCATTGGCGTGGCTGCGGTTGATGCAGACTTGGACAACTGAGAGCTCGCTTTTCCTGCTGGGGAACCCGCTTAATGTGACTTTGTGGAGGGAATTGCATGCCGTTGTCCTGTGCAACTTTGGCGTAGATACGGTTGATTGCGACCCCGTAAAGTCTGTGAACCCTGAGTTTCCCGAAGGTTTACTGGGTTAACGTCAGGGGACTATTATTATCATCGGGTGGGTTATAACGTTACTACACTACCCCGTGTGTGTAATTCGCTGGTCAAGCAAGTAGCAAGGACTGTGTTGTAGTGTACATGTATACATCTACTCTGTTATTGTAGACCTCATTAGAGTCATTTTGTGCAAAGTGAAAGAACACTAGCCCGTTATTTAAGTCAGTGGTGCAGACGACCACTTTATAAATTACATGTAGGAACCCCTAGAAGTATAGGTGAGGTATACCCAAGTGAGGTTTACCTTACGTGAATAACCCCGCTCAGCTGTGAATTATAATTGTGCAAGTTAATCATAAGGGAGTGCAGTTGACCCCTGTTGAACCAGATGTTTATAATTGTATAAGCTAAAGGGTGCAGTTGACCCAAGAGCTGTACGAAGGTTATAATTGTATAAGCTAATGACAAGGGGTGCAGTTGACCCCTCAGCTAAGAGCGAGGTTTACTAGTGCTTATTCTAACAACGAGGTTTACTAGTGTTCATTATCACAGCGAGGTTTACTAGTGCTTATTCTAACAGCGAGGTTTACTAGTGCTTATTCTAACAGCGAGGTTTACTAGTGTTCATTATCACAGCAAGGTTTACTAGTGCTTATTCTAACAGTAACAGCGTGGTTTACTAGTGTTCATTATCACAGCAAGGTTAACTAGTGATTGTTTTAAGAATGAGGTTTATCAGTGTTAATTCGAACACCGTCCGAGGTTTACCTGGATTCATCAGAACTGTGAGGTTTATCATTGTATAAATTATTGAATGGTGACGCATTGACATTATAATTGAAGTGTGCTAAAGGAATAAACTAACTGATTAACCCTAACCCCCTAGGCCCTTGTTGCTTACAACCATCCTCAATCCTCCAAAATCCTCCAAAATTTCTTCAATTCCGCCTAAATTTTTCAAAATTGTCAGACAGTCCTGCCTCAAAATGCATTCATCCTCAATCCTCCAAAATCCTCCTCATCCCAAAATTTTGCACTCGTGTTTAAATGAAGGATAACCAACGCCAAATCCTTCAAAATCATCAGACAGTCCTGCCTCAAAATGCATTCATCCTCAATCCTCCAAAATCCTCTTGTGCTTCATTCACCATTCATCCTCAATCCTCCAAAATCCTCATGTGCTTCAATCACCATTCATCCTCAATCCTCCAGAATCCTCATTTGATTCAATCACCATTCATCCTCAATCCTCTAGAATCCTCCAAAACCGCCAGGAGGATTTTGGAGGAGTGAGGTGGGTTAGGGTTAACGTCTTGGAATAACTGGTTACTGTGAAGCTTATGTAGTCCCGCTCTCTGTTGGATATATCTGAATAAGTTAGTCCCCTCTTCTGTCAATAAAGTCAAGTACTTAATCGCAGATCGGTGGTACATTTCCGCCAAACGAACAGCCCCTAGGCTTAGTCCGCCGTTCTTTAACTATATCCCCCCTTGCGTCAGGGTAACCGCTCATCCTTGTGCGAGGTTAATAAATATTTTTGTGGGTTAAGGCCAGGTCCAATTCCATCCTTCAATCAGGTCAGACTGTCGGGTCACCTAGTTATTCCCGCCACAAAGGGTGTAGGCCTATAGCTCGTTTCGCCACAATACTGATTGAGACATTTACTTGTATTCATTATTAGCTATCCTGCAAATTCGAGTGGAACAAGGTTAAAAAAAAATAGGTTAACCAGTTTGCGTCGGATAACGTGTATACAAACAAAGATTTTGCGGTATTCGTAGCGGATGACAGATGAACAAGCAATGATAGCTGAGTCCTATGCATACAGATCGTCAAATTGGTTCAGAGAACTCTTGGAGTTTTTAAGAATAAATTATTGTTTCACTGAAGAAGAAGTGTCTTTGCTCCCGTATTAGTCCCATCCTTGTAGATACATGTAGGATAGGATGCCTGGTTATACAGGTATCACAAGTGCTAAGTTCCCCCCAACATTATTCTTAATTAATGAAATAGAAATGATTTCAACAATATAACAAATGCAAATGACAGAGGACACTCTTCTGCCGATCTTGTGAGAAAATGATAGAAATCCAATCACGCATACCAACACGAAGCTCATTTGAATGAAAAAAGTGCCAATAAAAAAAGTCTCAGTACATAGCATTGCTCCAATGTACCGTACTGGTTTGAGTGATCCTGCAAGGCAGGGTAGACTTTCATTAATTAATAACTTTACCTTACAAAAGTTTCCTTGTTTAAAAGGATGTTTAACTAAACAAGACACAATCTTGGTAATCTAACAGATAATGACAGACCTTTTAATGCAAAGGTGACAAAGAAAATGCTGTGTAATCCTATTTCTTTTAGATTAGATACGAAAGGGATTAACATTCTATCTTTTAAAGCATGATCAAACCAGTACATTGGAGCAATGCTACTGCAACTTTTTTTATTGGCACTTTTTTCATTCAAATGAGCTTCCGTGTTGGTATGCGTGATTGGATTTCTATCATTTTCTCACAAGATCGGCAGGAGAGTGTCCTCTGTCATTTGCATTTGGGATATTGTTGAAATTGTGCTTTTCTATTTCATTAATTAAGAATAATGTTGGGGGGAACTTAGGACTTGTGATACCTGTATATCTTTGATACAAACAATCCGGGAAATATAAATTTATAGTGACTTGGCAATCATTACATCTTGCAAGGTGACAGAAGAATGTCCTGAATAGCGCCCTCTACTCCACCTCACCCGGCCGCA